AAATTAGGAAGAGTCTATTGGCTTTCACACCTAAATGCCTTTCTATCACACTGGGGCAATATACATATCCTAAACTATTTTTCTTTGTATATAGCATGATGCCACCATTAGTACTTATACATAAAATATTCATATTGATAGCTTTAATTTATTGAGTTCTTGTGCTGGACTCTTTGTGACCCATGGACTGTAGCCCCCACGGATTCCTCCATCCTTGAATTCTCCAGACAAGAACACTAGAGTGGATACCCATCCCCTACTCCAGCGTGTCTTCCCAACGCAGAGATCAAATCTGGGTCTTCTTCATTGCAGGCAGGTTCCCGTCTGAGCCACAGGGAAGCCCTTCTTGTATGCCAGTTCTCTGCTAAGTGCTCTGCATGTATTACTTACATGTAATAGCACACACACAAACATCCCTTGAAGAAGGTATTATTATCTCCACTGTAATAATAACAGTATTGAGGCTTAGAGAGAAAAATAACTTGACAAAACCATATAGATAAAAGATAGAGCTTAATTTTGAAACTAATCTCTGAATATTAAAGCTTGGGCTATAAATCAGTGTTTCAGTATTTTGCAAGCTGTTATATTTTCAGAACTCCATGATTCTATAACATAATTTAAAAGTTTCTGCATTCCATAATAAATAATCTAACCAATAAACATATATGTATATTCTTGATCTTCTGTGTTATCTGAGAACATTTATCTTACCCCATGAGCATGCCTAGATTCCAATAAGCTGGTGAGGAGGAAATCAGTCAAATTTAAAATAGAAATGATTCCACTAAGATCAGGAACCAGACAAGGATGTCCACTCTTGCCACTTTTATTAAACATAGTTTTGGAAGTCCTAACCATAATAATCAGAGAGGAAAAAGAAATAAAAGGAATCCAAATTGGAAAAGAAGAAGTAAAACTGTTTTGTTTGCAGATGGCATGACACTGTATGTAGAAAATCCTAAAGATGCTACCAGAACATTACTAGAGCTTATCAATGAATCTGGTAAAGTTGCAGCATGCAAAATTAATACATAGGAATTTCTTACATTTCTATACACTAACAATCAGTATCAAAAGTAATAAAATACCTAGAAATAAACCAACATAAGGATGCAAAAGACCTGTACTCAGGAAACTATAAGATACTGATGAAAGAAATCAGAGAAGACACAAACAGATGGAAGGACATACCATGTTCTTGAACTGGAAGAATTAGTACTCTCAAAATGACTATACTATCCAAGGCAATCCATAGATTCAGTGCAATCCCTATCAAGATACCAATGGCATTTTTTGCAAAATTAGAACAAAAAATGTTTACAATTTGTTTGGAAGCCCAAGAGACCCAAGTAGCCAAAGCAATCCCAGAGGTGGGGAAATCAGGCTCCCTGATTTCAGAATGTACTACAAGGTGGCAATAATTAAACAGCATGGTACTGGCACAAAAACAAAAATATAGATCAATGGAACAAAGCAGAAAATCCATAGATAAACTCAAGCTCCTCTGATCACTTAAACTTTGACAAAGAATGAAAGAATATATAATGAAGAAAAGTCACTTCAATAAGTGGTGCTGGGAAAGCTGACTGCTACATGTATAAAATAAAGCAAAAATGAAATTAGAACACTCCCTAACACCATACACAAAAGTAAACTCAAAATGGATTAAAGCCCTAAATGTAAGACTGGATATTATAAAACTCTTAGAGGAAAACACAGACAGAACACTCTCTGGCATATATCACAGGGAGATCTTTTTCAATCCTCCTCCTAGAGTAGTGAAAATAAAAATATATAAATAAACAAATGTGGCCTAATTAAGCTTAAAAGCTTTTGTGCAGCAAAGGAAAACTTAAATAAAACAAGAAGACAACCCAAAATGATAGAAAATATTTGCAAGTGAGGTGACCAACAAGGGATTAATTTTCAAAATACACAAGCAGCTCATTCAGCTAAATATGAAAACAAACAATCCAATCAGAAGATGGGTGGGAGATCTAAATATGCATTTTTCCAAAGAAGACATGCAAATGACCAAAAAGCACATGAAAAGATGCCCAACATCACTAATCATCAGTGAAATGCAATACAAAACTACAATGAGATATCACCTCACACTAGTCAGAATAACCATCATCAAAGAAATCTACAAACAATAAATGCTGGAGAAGTGTGGAGAAAAGAGAGCCCTCCTACAATGTTGGTGGGACATTAGTACAACTATTGTTGGTAAAACTATTATGAAGAACACTATGGAGGTTCCTTAACAAACTAATAGAGCTTTACCATATGATCCTGTAATCCCACTCCTAGGTAAATATCTCAAGAAATCCATAATTTGAAAAGATACATGCACCCCAGTGTTCATTTCAGCACTATTTGTGATAGCCAGGACTTGGAAACAACCTAAATGTCTATCAGTGGATGAATGGATAGAGAAAATATGATAACGTATATACAATGGATTATCACTCAGCCATAAAAAGTAATGGAATAATGCCATTTGCAACAACCTGGGTAGGCCTAGAGATTATCATACTGAGTGAAGTAATCAGACAGAGAAATGATATTGCTTATATGTGGAATCTAAAAAAAATGATATGGATAAACTTATTTGCCAAATAAAAATAGAGTCACAGATGTAAAAATAAATTTATGATTACTGGGGGGAAAGTGAAAGTGAAGTGAAGTGAAAGTCGCTCAGTCATGTCCGACTCTTTGCAACCCCATGGACTATACAGTCCATGGAATTCTCCAGGCCAGAATACTGGAGTGGGTAGCCATTCCCTTCTCAAAGGGATCTTCCTGACCCAGGGTTCGAACGCAGGGCTCCTACATGGCAGGCAGATTCTTTAGCAGCTGAGCCACAAGGGAAGCCCACTGGGGGGAAAAGAGGGTATAAAATAGGAGACTGAGATTAACATATACATACTACTAACCATTTGCAATGCAGACGCAGGAGTCGAAGGTTCAATCCCTGGGTCAGGAAGATCGCCTGGGGAAGGAAATAGCAACTCACTCCAGTATTCTTTCTGAGAAAATCCCATGGAGAGAGGACCCTGGCAGGCTACATTCCATGGGATCGCAAAGAGCCGGACATGCCTGAGTGACAGTACAGCACAGCAGCATGGGAAAATAATCTAAAACAGAGTGTATATATATATATGTGTGTGTGTGTTTGTATGTATATGTGTGTATGTATATATGTGTGTGTGTATATATATATGTGTGTATATGTATATGTGAGTGTGTGTGATTCACTTTGCTGTACAACAGAAACACAACATTTTAAGTTAAGTACACTCCAGTAAAATTTTTTAAAAAATAAAATAAAATAGAAATGATTTTTTCCCACTAAGTGAATGATGTCTTGTGTTATGGTGTCCTATACCGATGAGTTTCTCAGTAATTCAGATGATAAGATATGAGGGGAAATTGAATTATTACACAGCATGATCCTTTGGTCGGTAAGATCCCCTAGAGAAGAGGATGGCAACCCACTCTTGTATTCTTGCCTGGAGAATTCTGTGGACAGAGGAGGCTGACAGGCTACAGTCCATGGGGTCACAGAGTTGGACATGACTGAGCAACTAACACTTCACTTTTCATAAAGCATAGCAATCTCTACAAGTTTGTGCTCTATTAGCTGGTTCCATATTCATGTTGTGAATGGCAATTTAGTTTCAAGGAAACAAAAATCTTCTGCTGCATAAGATATATACTTTAAATCAATATTGGAAGTCTACGAAGTTTTTTGTTTCTCTTTTACCTTAAAAGTAGCTTGAAGGAGCTTAACTAGGTAACATGTCATGTGCCTAGTTGATTGTTAGCATCACATCACTAGTTTTATTATTTTTTTCTATGTTGATGTTATACTGACTACTCCCTCTTGATCATTTTCAGTTCCTCATTAGGCTTTTTCTTCTTCCAGATTATTATTAATGTTTTAGCATTTAAAAAGTAAAACAATTCATCATCTTTCACCTTGTTGTGTATTTGTTGTATACTTCCTATGACTCTTTCCATGAATCATTAATTTAAAAATCTTCTTTCTAAAAAGTAATAACCTTGAATAATATGACCCTCCCTGGCCTATGGAATGGTAACATGCAGCAAGTTATTCGGTAAGATAGAAAGCTGAATTCATTGAATTTCTGATACTTAAAGAGCATGTTTGGCAATTATAAAGACTCATTTGATTTTGCAATATTACCACAATCTTTTTAAAGTAATACATTAAAATTAAATTTATTTAAAATTAGAAATTCATAGTTCTCTTTAAGTGGTTAGACACTAAAATTTTGCAAAGTTAGTCCTGGAGAGTTAGCAGTATCATATGCTGATTATGAGAATGCCTTAATCCATTCTATCTTTGAAACTAAGAAAATTGATAGAATTTCCAAAGATGCCCAAACCTCTGCCATAATTGATTGGTTTGTGGGTTTTACCTATTATATTTGTTTTCAAAGACTCTGTAGTCTTTATTCTACTTTTTGTTACTGAAGCTCTTGGATGAGAAAAAAACTGACTAGTGAGAGGAAGAAGGGGCAAGTTCAAAAAAAGTTAAAAATGAAAAGATTAAATAAGAATCATTCTAAAAATTTGATCTCTTTACTTTTTTTATAATTTAAAGGAAGTAGATTTTAAAATAGTAGATTAGTTAGAGATCTACAAACTTAAAATGCATCTTGAAAATATTTTGCTCTCATCCTTTATCCATGCTGTCCCTTCATCAAGGCCGGGAAATACTGAAACTATTATGTATTTCTGTTTATGTACAAGTATTCTGTCCAAGGACAGTAGTGTAGTAGTTCTTTCTTCCCATCTATTGTTTGAGAGGGAATGAGTCATCTTCAACACAGAACCATTCTGTACATTTTGTTCATGTTAGACGCTAGTTAAAGTAAAATACATCTACACCTACATACTTTACATTACTTTAAATGATAATGCTTTCTATTAAACTGTGTTTTTTCGATATTCTGTTTTACCTGCAGCTGAATGTGGTGCATCTGCAACAAATAATGAAGGCATTTTGCTCTCTCCAAATTATCCACTGAACTATGAAAACAACCATGAATGCATTTATAGTATTCAGGTTCAAGCAGGAAAGGGAATCAATATTTCAGCCAGAACATTTCATTTAGCACAAGGAGATGTTCTTAAGGTAAGTGAACTCAGTATATTTATATTTTGATCATTTTAACCATTAAGTATTCATTAATGTGTGTATATAATCTGCCAAAAGTTTATTCTGCCATTCATAGGTTTAAATTATACATTATTTATCTATGAAACATAATCAACCCATAAATGGTCACTTATTTATTTTTATTTTGATGTTTTTTAAGTAACTTATTTAGCTGTGTTGATGCAAGGAAAACTCTATGCATTTATGACTATGGAAATTTTATAATTTATGAATAAATCAAATTAACAATATTTTAAAAAAATACTCTGTCAATAATAAACATTTAAGTAAAAATTTTAATTTATTTTAAAAATTTGAAATGATCACATTTAAAGATATAATTAAGGGGAGTTCCCTGGTGGTCCAGTGGTTAGGACTTGGAGCATTTGTTGCTGTGGCCCCAGGTTCAATTCCTGGCCAGGTAACTAAGATCCAGCAGACTGCATCATGTAGCCAAAAATTTTTTTGAAAATGTTACAGTAAATATATATTTTCATATTTATTGATCCATGTTTTGCAAATCAAATATTTTGATAAATATAGTTGATATTCATTATTGGAATAATGGTAAACACTTCTATAAAATCACATATAAATATTTTTTAAATGATCACATATATTTTTCTCATTATCAAGATGTCCTCAGTCTAAGTAAGAAATTTTAGATATTCTATTGTCACAAATCTTGAAAAAAAAATTGTGATATCCCAGATTGGGGTGGGGGATTTTTATTGAAGTGGTGATTTTAACATTATCAGTTATGTCCTTTTAAAAAGAATATTAATTTGGTGATAATTGTTGGTTGTCTAACACAAACAGTTCTGTATGCTAGCAATATTTGTGTAGATATGGGAAAGATTTCCTTCAGTACACCTGGATATATACAATTTTATTATTAATTTAAAGCTATTGTTGTTTTTTGTGCTTTTCCCCCATAGGCAACAAAAATGCACTTTGTATATAATATCTTCAATTTCTAGCTCATTGTTTGGTTTTCCTGTTAAAAATAAATTTATTTGATAAATTGGAGTCAAACTGAGATTAATGGAAAGCATGTACTTATAAGTAAGCCAGTGCTTTTTCTTTTCTTTTCTTTTTTTTTCTGGCTAACTATGGGGAAAAAAAATGTATCAGACATAGGTCAGAAATATGAGTGTAGCTATTAATCTGTATCACATAAGTAACAATAATAAACATGCATTTATAGGTTAAAAGTCAGAAAAAGCTTCCCCCTTGTCTACCATGATGCTTTCTAAAATATTTTTTTCCTCTCAATGTTGCTTGAAATTTATATATTAATTTTCCATACTGAATAATGTTTATTACTTGGAAAATCCATTTGGAATAATTGGTGATGCCTGTTAAAAAATAGTCCTGTATGTTTCTCAGAGTGCTTTCTGATTAATGTCTTACTGTTTGGAATAAGGATTTTATGTGTGTTACCTTGATGAAGAATGAAATTCGGTAATGAGTGACAGCATGAGGGGATTTGATGGTGAGAGACAAAGGAAGGCAGGAAAACTCAATTTCAAGCTCTGTAGTGGATTTCATTAAATAGTGATTTTAGTGATTTTTCTTTCATGAGTGAAAAAATAAAAATATATATTCCCAGAAGTTTTTTTTTTAAGTTGAAAAGATTATTTACTTGATATTAACCTGGAAGCACACCAATTCAATCATCCTCCTACTAATAGTCTAACCTGGGATTTATTCTAAATTATTATTTTAAAATAACTTTGGTAAGTCACACTATAGAGACAGTTGGGGATGGACTTTTAAACACTGTCTGTCTTCATGGTTTCTCCACCAGTATAAAATGTAAAATGCCTATATGTTATTCTTCTCAATAATCCCAAGAACAACTATCAATTCAAAGATACCTACTGACATAAGCACAGTTAGGCATGCACAAGTAGGCAGTGTACTTTGCAGAGGACAAATGATTAATTCTCAGAGATTGGTAAACCCAGAGTCCTTTCAGGATAGAAGGTAATTTGCCTAACTGCAAACTAACTCAGCATTCAAAAAACTAGGATCATGGCATCCAGTCCCATCCCTTTGTCAGGGGAGTGTGTTATTTCTTCAGTTCTGTATTGTCACAACAAAAATTTGAAGCAGTGGACCAGCATTACAGCCCTCATACAGATTGTGTCATAGCTCTTGGACAGATCAGTGTTACAGATCCATGTTACAGCTCGTTTTATTTAGAAAACAAAGGAAAATATATCCTCTTGACATGAAAACATGCTGACCCAAAAGACGCAAAGAGTAGAGAGAGATCTAAGAGACAGAGAGAGAGCAAGAGAAAGACAAAGAGGGAGTGAGAGAGAGAGAGTGAGAGACAGAGAGCAAGAGAAACAGAGAGAGAGAGAGTGCCAGAGAAAGAGAGAGAGAAACCTGGCCCTTTGGCTCCTCTTTTTATATATTTTTTCTCCCCCGCAACCCCAGGCCTGCCTTATGTAAATTGGGCTAGCCAGGAGTGCTGTTTGTTCTAGCTGAGGTCCTCACTCCAGTCCTCGGAATTTCCTTTGTTCTATTTTTGCAGGCTTTTCCCTTCCTTGTCTTTTAGCCACCGCCATTCTGGACTCCTTTTTCCTACTCTAACTACCTAACAGCTTCATGGCAAATAGATGGGGAAACAGTGGAAACAATGACAGACTTTATTTTCTTGGGCTCCAAAATCACTGCAGATGATGACTGCAGCCATGAAATGAAAAGATGTTTGCTCCTTGGAAGAAAAACTATGACCAGCCTAGACAGCACATTAAAAAGCAGAGATATTACCTTGCCGACAAAGGTCCTTCTAGTCAAAGCTATGGTATTTTCAGTAGTCATGTATGAATGTGAGAGCTGGACCATAAAGAAAGCTGGACCATATGCTGAAGAATTGACGCCTTTGAACTCTGGTGTTGAAGACTCTTGAGAGTCCCTTAGACTGCAAGAAGATCCAACCTGTCCATCCTAAAGGATATCAGTTCTGAATATTCATTGAAAGGACTGATGCTGAATCTGAAACTCTGATACTTTGGCCACCTGATGCAATGAACTGGCACCTTGGAAAAGACCCTGATGCTGGGAAAGATTGAAGGCAGGAGGAGAAGGGACAACAGAGGATGAGATGGTTGGATGGCATCACTGACTCGATGGCCATGAGTTTTAGGATGATCTGGGAGTTAGTGATGGACAGGGAAGCCTGGCGTGCTGCAGTCCATGGGGTCACAAACAGTCAAACACAACTCAGTGACTGAACTGAACTGAACTGAATCCATCAGAGCCCATTCTCATCCACAGGACTTTCCAGTATTAAACTTAGTAATCACTTATTTTGTCCCATTCCAACTAGGACATAGGAAGAAATATGAAAAATAATTAGCCTATTATATAAACTTTTATCCCTTGACTGAGATCAAAGAACAAAACCAATAATAAAAAAAGTATGTATTTTAATCTATATCTGTACACACACACACACACACACACACACACACACACACACACACCTTTTCTTTCTGAGAACCCATCATCTAGGCTGATTCTCATTTACTCACTCACCCACTCTCTCTCTCCCTCCTCCTTCTTATAAACACCTTAGTTATCTGAATATCCATTGGAAGGACTGATGCTGAAGCTGAGACTCCAATACTTTGGCCACCTGATGCGAAGAGCTGACTCATTTGAAAAGACCCTGATGCTGAGAAAGATTGAGGGCAGGAGGAGAAGGGGACGACAGAAATGTGATGGTTGGATGGCATCAGACTCAATGGACATGGGTTTGGGTGAACTCCTGGAGTTGGTGATAGACAGGGAGGCCTGGCGTGCTGAGGTTCATGGGTTTGCAAAGTCAGACACGACTGAGTGACTGAACTGAACTTATCTGTAACCAGACTAGTTAAGTTTCAGTAGATCTAGGGAAAATTGGTTCAGTTCATCTCCACCTGGGATTAAGGATTTTTATAAAGCTCTCCAGATTTTGTAATGACAAGCAGGTTTGGGAATTATGAATATATCTTTGTTTGGTTATCTTACTTTCAGTAGGAAAGAATATTGAACTTCCCAATCCATCACGCAAACTATATAACCTAATTAATTGTTTTTAATTAACATTTAAAGATGGTGTTTATCATATGTAGGCTCTAAATAGTCAATAGTAAGTTGCTATGCTTGTCAGCTGAATAGGACAAAATTTGAATACTAGTCAGAAATACTATTTATGTTTTTGTCATCACTGTATTTGTTTTTATTTTCAGAAAAAGGCTAAGCATTATGTTTAGATAAAGGAATCTTGCAGGGGGGGAAAAGGCAGTCTCTTTACTATAGTTGGCATTGTAAAGTTTAAAGGCTTTCTTATGCAGAAATAGAAAGTGAAATTGAAAGTCATCTCTGACTCTTTGCGACCCCATGGACTATACAGCCCATGGAATTCTCTAGACCAGAATACTGGAGTGGGTAGCCTATCCCTTCTCCAGAAGATCTTCCCAACCAATAATCAAACCAGGGTCTACTGCATTGCAGGCAGATTCTTTACCAGCTGAGCTACCAGGGAAAATGTCTGTATTTGACAACCAAATCACAGAGTGTTACACTAGGCCTCATAAAATCCTTCCTTTTTTCTCATACTGAGGATCACAGAAGTAAAATGATGTGTGACATGCCAGTCAGCTTTGAGGGTAGAGTTGGGACTTCAACAGAACCACAAAGCTAAGGCCCCTGAAAACCTGACCCTTGATTTAACTCCCAAATCCCTCACTGAAGCACACTAGCTCTTGTAAGTGACTACACATTATATAACTGTTGTAAAGACATATAAAGATCTGAGTACAAATAAATGTTCTCTTTTGTTACATATTGTCTTTGGAGAGAACATTGTAGATTTGAAATATTTTGAAATAATTAGTTTCTTTCTTTTTCATTCAAAACTTGAAATCTAACTCAACTCATTACAAAAATTATATAAATTCTTAATCAACCTATAAAAC